GTACAATATACAGGAAACCACAACGTGTTCTGTTCTCAAAACTGAGACTTGGGCCTCAAGCTACCATAGTTTCGGCCCATGTTAATATAAGGTCAGACTCAGGCAGCCCAGAACTACTGGCCGGTGTCAAAAGTAAAAGGACTCCAAAGCAAAACAAATGGCCCAGGGAACGGACTCCCGGCCCAAACCCAGCAATGAAGACATTGAAGAGTTAAGCCACAATGAGGTGCGAGGTGTCCGTGTCCCATCCCAAAGTTCCCAACATTTGCAGCATCCCGGTCGGATCGGGACACGAACTCCGATGCACAAACGACATGTTGTTTGAACCTTGAACGTGAACACGCAGGGTTATGCTATCGATCCATCGTGTCCGCACCGTTCGACCTCGACGACTGACTGCAGCAATGGCCGCGAGCGGCAACATGGCCGACCTGCCCGGCGACATCGTCCGCTGCATCGCCGGCCGGGTCGCGCCCGAGTGCCGCCAGCGGATGCGCGCCGTGTGCTCCGCGTGGAGCGCCGCGGTGCCAGCCGAACCGCTGCCGTGGATCCTCCTCCAGCCCGACGACGTCGACGACGGAACGGCCGCTGCGGACGCCGCCGAACGGGTCGGCTTCTCCGTCATGTCGCTGCCCACCGACAGCAAGCTGCCTCTGAGCGTCACCACCAGCGCCGGGTCCGGTCCAGGGCCGGGACAGCGCGTGCGCTGCTTCGGCGCCGGCCACGGTTGGCTGGCGCTCGTCGGCGCCGACCTCAGCGTCACGCTACGCAACCCCGTCACCGGCCACGCGATCTCCCTACCGCCGCTGACGAGACACCCCATGGTCGGCGCCGACGGCCTCAGGGAAGACGGCCTCGTCCTGTGGCGTACGTGGCTCGACTGGTGGCCCGACTCCGGGGATCTCGTCCCCGCGGAGGAGTTCAGGGACACGTACGTCCGGAAGGTGGTGTTCTCGGCGCGGCCCCGGCAGGACGACTACTTCGCCGTGGTGCTCGGCGGCTACCACTCCTACGCCATGTACGCCAGGGCCGGCGCCACGGCGTGGGAGACGCTGCGCGACGCGGACGGGCGCGCGCTGTGCCTCGTGCACGACGTCGTGCACGTCGAGGGTGGGTTGTTCCTCGCCGTCACGCGGTGCCACGGCAAGGTTCTAGTGCTCGACCTCGCCGTCCATGGCAACGCAGATGACGATGTCGACGACGACGACGATTGTACTGCTGCTGCTACAACACACCATGCCACCGAGGACGACGACGGCGACGTTGACGGCGACGGCGACGATTATTGCTACTCTCCGAGCGTGAGCACCTTCGCGGATCCGCTAGTCATGACCGAGTCGCTGGACTACTTCGTCCCAGGCGCGGACACGCACGTGGAGAACCATCTGGTGCTCATCGACGGCGAGCTCTACCAGATATGGGCGGCGCGGGAAGCCGAGCCCCTGCCGCCGGAGGAACACAACTGCGAAAAGAAGCTGAACCGGTACCACATAGCGGACGTCGGCGTCGTCAGGTACGCCTTAACGGCAGCAGGAGATTGGGAGGCGGCGGCGGCGGCGGATCTCGGCGACTGGGCTGTGCTGGTCGGGAGGAACGAGACGGTGGCCGTGCGCTCTGGGGACGTGTCGGGGGTGAGCGCCAGCTGCGTCTACTTCATCGCCGGCGAGCTGGAAGAGGTGGTCTGCGCGTTTCGCCTGAGGAGCGGGCGGGCAGAGCCGGTGGGCGGTGACGTGCTACGACACGCGTGCGCCACGCCGCTGCCGCCGGTTTGGTTCCTGCCGCCACTGAAGTAAAAGCTGCGCCTGCACCATACACGTCATATTTGTATTTCTCTCGTGATACATTGTAGGACCAACTAAGGTCAATTTTTGGATGCTTTTCTGTTATGGAATGCAATTTGCTAGTCATCATAATAACATTATTACAAAACTACTACTAGAGCTAATTTTCTGAACGTTTTCCAAAACGGGACGACTAGCGCCCGGACGTCCGGCCCAAGGACGCGTCCGGACGCAGCTCGGGGCTATCTAATTTGAGGAACAGGAGCCGTCCGATCTCAGCGCATAACAGAAGAAACGAGCGCACCTATCCCTCCCCCATGTAACGGAACAGAAGGAGCACGCACTCGTGTGTACTCGCAGCGGCCCGTCCCCCGCCGCACCGCCATCCCAAGCCGTGCCGCCATCCCGATGCGCCGCTAGCATCGAGAAGAAGGGAAGGGGGCGGCGCCCACCTGCGCCTCTGGTTCGGATGCCCAGGCGGCGCTGAGAGAGAAGGTGGAGACACCAAGGCGAGGCAGACGGAGGGAGAGAGATGCAACACCCGATCTATTTTTGAAACATTCAGATACAACACTTGCAACATATGTCTCAAGATAGATGAAACACTTGAAACATGCATCTGTAGCACTTAGAAAAACACCTCAAAACCATTGTAAAACATACGCAACATCTACATAAAACACTTGCAACATATGTTTGAAACATATGCAACATCCAAATAAATACACTTGAACATACGTCTGAAAAAATAGATGAAACATTGGGAACAAAAGCTTGCAACATACCTGCACAACCATTACAACATCCGCAACATCTCGATCTACTTTTGCAACTTTCTTATGAAACATTTGCGACATACCTATGAAACATCTGAAATATAGGCTTGCAATATGCGTTTTCACCCTTCTTCTTCTTCTTCTTCTTCTTCTTCTTCTTCTTCTTCTTCTTCTTCTTCGGTACAACGCAGCGCAAGCGGGGGATTGGCAGGCGGAGGGCAGCGCCATCACGGCCCCTTCTGGACGGACGTTGTCATCATATCATTATCGTTCCCAAAACAACTTCAACTCTATCAGAGAAATTACCCCATAAGAGGAGCTGGCACCCTGCCAAACTAGCCCTCAAGGTCCACACAATCTGTGCCTTATGCTAACTTACAATGAACACAAATTTCTTCTATTCATAAGTTTTAAAGACTACACAAGACTAGAATAGAGTACAAAATAAGCTAAGCCGCCCAGATGCCACTTGGGTGTTTCTATCCTGACATTAACATTATATAGGTTTGTGCTAACTAGTGTGAGAATGATTGCCTTGAAACGTTTGAGGGAGAGTGATGAAGATTGCTTGTTGTCCTCGTGTCATATTACGCAAGTAAAAGTCACAATTTTTTAAAGTAAACCCTGCATTGAATACCTATCGGCAGAAAAGAGAAAATATACCTTTGTCATATTAGCATCTAGAATATTTCGAGATCATGTAATTCGTCTGCGCATGAGCTCACTTCTTTGGGTATGAGTTGGGACCCGGGTCAGTTTTGTATATGGACTGACCCCATCCCTGACGTTGTAACTAATTTGGCTCCTCGCAATTTGGCTGAGCATGGGTCTCTTAATGCAAGGCCGTAGAGCCATGTTAAGGATAAAAAAAAGAGCATGCCGATTTTTTGTCTCATGCACCGAAAGATCATATTAGAGTTAGATAAGCAATGGCTAGATATAACATTAGATTATGACTATGCACTATTAGAGCATCTCCAAGAGTTTGCTATCTCAACTTGGCAGCCATATAATTTTGGCAAAATAAAAAAAAATAGCCTCCAACAGTTTGGTAAAACAACTTGACATCAATAGCAACTTGGCAAATCTTCCCTCCGCGCGCGCAAATATACGCGCGCGTATACGGCTTGGCATCCGGGGCTCTTCGTTCGCTTAGCGGGGCTCTTCGTTTGCTTAGCGGACCTCCTCATTTTGTTAATGGGTTTTTTTATTTTCCCAAGTAAAAAATACCAAACTCTTGAAGATGGATTATTTTTTTACTTAGCATATAATTTTGGGAGTTGGCAAATCATAAGATTTGCTAAGTAAAATTTGATAAACTCTTAGAGATGCTCTTAAGAGCCAGTGAATAGCAACAATTGCTTGTATAAAAATCCTGAAAACGTAGAGCTCTGTAAAATAACAACGGCTAGCATCAGATTATCAAGAGCGCTCGCTACCACCTGAAGCGAGGCCCACCTGTTAGTCACCTTTTCCCCTTCGTGTGATCGTATCCCCCGCTCCGCTCGGTCTCCGCGGCTACGAGCAGCGGCGCCCCCTGCGCCCCCGCCGCCGGCTCTCTCCCCTGCTCTCCTTCTGGAGTCCTCCACCCGCGCCGCACCGCCCCCTCCTCTCCTCCACCACCAGCACCGTGCCGGTCATCGCCTCCTCTGACGCCAAGCTCGCCAGTACGGCTCGATCTGGCCACCGCCACCGCCCGTGCCGACCTGCTCCTCGAAGCCGGTGAGCGCTCAGCCTCCCTCTCTCAGCGCGGCCTCGGACGCTCGGTAGAACGGCGGATTGGGCGATGAGTGTTTTTACCGACATCTCATTCGGTGGGAATGCGGTTATGTTGGAACCCCAAACCCCAAAAACCGTAGTAGTTTTCCCCCCTCTTTAGCCATTGTGGTGGTATTCTCACTTGTTGGAGATGCTTTACATGTTTACTGTTTGCACTACACTACATCATAAAAGGATTAGTGTAAACAAATTTTTTTGAGGAAAGATTAGTATAAACAATAGCGGCAATATATGAATCAGTGGGCACTGCAGAGGCATAAATCAAATTGCCACTGAAAGAATTGTTGAATCCTAGTTGTTGAAATCAGACAATAACAAAAAAGAGAATAAAAGGCTTTCGAATTTTTAACTGTCCGTGTCTGCCAGCCAGTGCAATAAAATGCCATGTTATCAAACAGGCAGGTTTCCTTGAGTTCTCAGCAATGCTATTTCCAAGGGAAGCCGGTCAGAACCTTGCTTTTGGGAAGTAGCAGCTTGACCCAGAATTGATCTAAACCTGAGATTTCCTTTGAGCAAGTAACACAAAAAGCGGTTCGTGTTTACATAGTATTGAATTTGTGGGAACTAAGATAAAAATGGTTCACTAGGCTTTTTTTCCTGGTTTTAATGAAACTAAACACGTTGCTAGCAAAACAGAGGACAACGGTAACTGGGTGAATGAAAAATGGCTTTAGCCTTACAAGCAGCACTCGTTTGTCCTTTTGTATGGTTGAATCCTCATCATGAGGTAATGCCTACTAGTAGTCTATTGGAACAAAGATGCTTATCCTTCATATTGTGATTGGCATTGTAAGTTATTGCATTAGCCCATTGTACTGATGTGGGTTTAATTATGGTGCATTATGTTGCATTTTTTTCTCTCTCGAACATGCATGAGAGTTGCGTATCATTTCTTTAAGAAGAAAGATCTAAAAAACAGGGAAGGAAACCCCAAATAACCACACCACTCTAGAAGACTAGAATGAAAACTGAAAGGATTGCTCAGTGTCTTTTTCCTGATGTAACCCCTGTTGTCTTACATGATGCTATGCTTATTTGTTTTGGATTTCAGTTTTCTGACATAATGGATGGGCAAGGCACAAAGCACAGGATTTTGATGGTGTCTGACTTTTTCTTTCCAAACTTTGGTGGGGTGGAAAGCCATATCTACTACCTGTCACAATGTCTGCTTAAGCTTGGCCATAAGGTCCTATTTTCCTCATAAACTTGTAGCATTCCGTTTGCTTATCCATTCTTTAGGATGTTTGATACTCTTAAACAAATATTCATCCGATAAACTAATGATTACTTTCTCTCAAATCTGACACTTTCATCAGTTTCTTTACCCTTATCTCAGTTATACTAGATTTTTAGGATGTTGCACATGTACTGAAAAGCTGTCAGACTGGATGACATGGACATGCATAGGAGATATTTACCTAAGGCACACTTATTTAGAACTGTTAAATCATTAACTGTGAGCTGCCAAATTTTTAACAAAGCATTGAAAGCAATTTATGCATTTTGCCTAGGTTGTTGTCATGACGCATGCATATGGAAACAGATCTGGAGTACGATATGTAACAAACGGTTTAAAGGTCTATTATGTACCATGGAGACCATTCCTGATGCAGAATACACTTCCTACATTATTCTTGACATTTCCAATTGTAAGGACAATAATTGTTCGAGAGAAGATTTCTGTCGTGCACGGACATCAAGCTTTTTCAACACTGTGTCATGAAGCATTAATGCATGCTAGGGCGATGGGGTACAAAGTCGTCTTCACAGATCACTCACTTTATGGTTTTGCTGATGCTGGAAGCATTCACATGAATAAGGTGCTACAGTTTACTCTTGCCGATATTGATCAGGCAATATGTGTCTCTCATACAAGCAAAGAGAACACCGTCTTGAGGTCTGGGATATCTCCAGAGAAGGTTTTCATGGTTCCTAATGCAGTTGATACTGCAATGTTTACTCCCTCCCCCAAGCGCTTGAGCTGTGATGAAATAGTCATTGTTGTGATCAGTAGATTAGTATACCGAAAAGGTGCCGACCTTCTTGTTGAAGTCATTCCAGAAGTGTGCTGTCTATTTCCAAAGGTGAGTTTGAGCTACATCACTCTTTAAGTCAACTGACCCTGGTGAATTGTGTATATGTACACACTAAGGGAGAGCCTTTGTTATGCAGTATGACACTCTTGATCACTAAATGTTTTGATTGTTGCGCATGTAAAACAAAGTGTACAACAGTACAGTTTTATTGGACAGTAGAGTTTGGCTGTTTTCATGAAGTCATCTTGCACCATTATTTCCTTGTTGTATGTACTGTTTTGGATTTAGTAAGTTGGTTATATCTTGTCGATCAATGACTCTGTACTTGCCAGGTTCGCTTTATTGTTGGCGGTGATGGTCCAAAACGTGTGCGTCTTGAAGAAATGAGGGAGAAGTTCTCCCTTCAGGATAGAGTTGAGATGTTAGGAGCTGTACCTCATGCTCAAGTGCGATCGGTTCTGATATCTGGGCATATATTTTTGAACAGGTAAACTCTTCCTACATTTTCATCATTACATGTTGGAAATCTTGTTTCTACTTTCCAGTGTGTTTGTCCACTTTTTCTTGATGGACTTTGATTGTCGAGCCATTTGAATTTGGGATACCTTTTATGTCCTTGCAATAGAATTTTGACATTCTTATATCAGATTATTAAAGTGCTCTTATGAATATGTGGTCCAAAAACACAAACTAGGAATAGGGTTTAATACACAAGTTTATTCATGGACATAATTGGAGGTTTTCTTCTGAATTCTAAATATATTTTGATGGGTCAGGAGTTAACTGAAGGTTGATAATTTTTCGCTCATCTTGCATCACCTACCCTCATTGTCAACTATAACATAATGCTATAGAGAAACTAGATTATAGGCTAGTTAATTTCTGGGACAGATGCAAAGGGTCAGTGGAACCTAACCTTTGTTATTTTTAGTTCACTTACAGAGGCATGTATAATACTGTGGTAACAGTGGAACCTAACCTTTGTTATTTTTAGTTCACTTACAGAGGCATTTTGCATAGCCATTCTAGAAGCAGCAAGCTGTGGACTGTTGACAGTGAGCACTAGAGTTGGCGGTGTCCCTGAGGTATGCTGTTATGATCTTAAGCTTCCCTTCTACAGAAAATCCCAACCTTGGTTAGATGATTTTGAGTTTCATGCAATTCATTATTTCTTTTTACAGGTTCTTCCAGATGACATGATAGTGCTTGCAGAACCAGCTCCTGGAGATATGGTAAGAGCTGTCAAGAAAGCCATTGACATGCTACCTGGCATAGACCCCCAAATTATGCATCTTCGGGTGAGCCTGAACTCTCAACATTCCACACCTTATTTGAACTCAGGATTAGACCCTTTCTATTGACATTCTGCACCTTATTTGACTTAGGATTGAACCCTTTCTATTGAGTTCATTTTTTCATTAGCTTCTATTTCATTTGAGTTTCATATGCAAGTTCCTTGGTCTTGATTCAGCTTCTTCTATTTTGCATCCTAGATGAAAAAACTTTATAGTTGGGATGATGTGGCCAAAAGAACTGAGATTGTTTATGATCGTGCAATGCAGTCTCCAACAACAAATTTACTAAATTGCCTTCCCCGGTGAGTAAACATAAGACATTGACAACTCATCTTGTTTCTTCAATAGATTTTGTTAATGAAACAAGGTATATCTGATTTTTTTTTTTGTCTATCATTGACTAGCAAAATTTATTTCACCATTCTCTCATTTTCTTGTGCTAAATCAATTTATATGTTATTTGTGCCAATAATGTTTAGATCTTAATCAATTTTATGATCAATATCTCCACATTATCACCAACATCCAATTTGAAATACATTTGTTCATTTGATGGTGTAGATATCTTATTTGCGGATCTTGGGCTGGAAAACTGTTTTGCCTAGTTATGATCATCAACTACCTACTATGGCGCCTTCTAGAATTCCTACAGGTATTTGTGTATCCATGCATTCTCTCTCCTTTTACCTGTTTTGAGATTGAATGGAGGAATCCTTACACAAGTTCTCCCTCAGCCTGCTGAAGGTATTGAAGAGGTCCCAGATATAGGGCCACTACATGCTCATTTAGGTTCAAGCAATGGTTTGTGTGAAGCTCAAGAGAAGTGAATTTTAGATTTTGATAGATTTTTTACAGTTTTGAAATAATTGGGGTTACAATCATGGCATCTTCTGCTTGTCAAGATTCGTTCTGGTCCAACACAACATTTTCTCTTGAAGCTTCCTGTTTCTGCAATGGCAACTAGAGAGTGGAGCGCCCCTGATTTGGGGGATTTCTTCTCGTGCTGGTTAAAGCTATGGTCCAAGTCTCTGTCATTGCCAGCTCCTCTTTTTTTTTTTTCTGCGTAGTGAGTTGATGGGCCCTGTCCTAATCAACAAACAAGTATCCACTGGAACAATGTTACTCTCTTTTGCCACCATATTGCAGTGTTTTTTTATCCACATCTCGGTCTTGACTTGTACTGTTCCTTAGTGCTCACCGAAAGCATTAGGAACTCTCAGTGATGGAGTGTTAAGAGTCTGGATTGGCATGTTGCCATAACTCCTTGTGATGTCTTTTACCCTGATGTGATCCGGTGTCTGTCTCTCATGTCGCAGCAGCAGTGCCTATGTTTGTGATGTAGGGCGAATCTGGCTGTTATCTTGGGGCCTTCTTGTTCAATTTCCAACCAGCGACGGATGAATCCGACCTGCATGGCTCGGCTCCAGTTCCTGTGTTAGCTTTTGTAACGCATCCACTTCGTGGTAATCCGTTGACAAGTATGGACTATATATGGAGTGTCAAATGGCAATATCTTTCGGCAGTGTTTGGGATTTCAAGACTTGACCATTCACTTTGTAAGGTAGCTTTTGTAATGCATGAGTTTTTCGAGGGACTATTCGATCCTTATACCTTATGGTCTTTTTTTTTTCCTTTCCAAATTCGTGTTACGAGTGCTGCATGAATTTGTGCCCATTTGGAAATTCTGTATAACTCCATTCCATAGCCCATTTCCCCCTAGTTCATTGTTGCTGACTTGCTGTGATTAACGAGAGAAGTCCAAGTGCATGAACTTGTGCTATTTCCTTTTCACTTTTCTGCTTTTCTGGTGCGTGTCCAGCAACGTGTCCTGCAAACGGGAGGTGTTAGATTTTTCTTTTTTTTTTTCTGGTCTGTAAAACCTGTCTATGCGTACTCCCTTCATCCAAAAATAAGTATACTTTTAGATTTTTAGTGAAGAGATCAGTGCTAGTGCAAAATTACATATATACCCCTATAAAAATGTAATCATTGCAATTTGTGAAGAGAGAAAGTAGCAAAAGACAAATAGGGTTAGGTCTAGACTAGAGGTGCACTTATTTTGTGATAAGTTTTGAACTCTAGAAATGCACTTACCATGAGACGGAGGGAGTATTGAATGACTCGTCTTGGAGATGCTCATGCAGACCGAAAAAACCATTTTTATTTAGAGTATGGCTACCTCTTTTTAAGGTTCTGCTTATCGGCGACTCCGGCATGGGAAAGTCTCCTGCTCTTCTGCTTCACCAAGGGCTTCATTTCATGAACGTGGCCCCCCCCCTCTGTATATGAACTTAGATTAAAATTTTCCCTTGAGTGCAATAATATGGGAGATGCTAGCATCCGGACGTCCGCATCTGCTTTGTGTCGTGGGCCTCTTCGTTTCTTGTGCCACCTTCGTTTCCTGCGCCCGCATCGCGTGGACGCGTTGCCCAGCCTGCGCCCTCCACTCACACACGGGGACCGCCCCGCTTCAGCTCCACTTCCGGCGCGCACGTGGGGACTGCCTGCACCCCCACTCACTGCCTGTGCTTGCGCTAGCTACTCCCCACACCCACTTCACACGGGAACTGCATGCCCACATGCATGGCACCCTAGCAGCTGCAGTAGGCGGCATCGACAGGTGGGTCCCATTACAACATATGCAACACCCGATCTACTTTTGCAACATTCAGATGAAACACTTGCAACATACGTCCGAAACAACCGAAACACTTGCAACATACGTCTAAAACACTTGCAAAACGCCTAAAAACACTTGAAAGCCATTGCAAGCATATGCAACATCCAGATAAAACACTTGCAACATATGCATGAAACATATGCAACATCCAGATAAAATGATTGCAACATACGTCTGAGAAATAGATGAAACATTTGGAACAGACTCTTGCAACATGCGTGTATAACCATTGCAACATACGTAACATCCTGATCTACTTTTGCAACATCCATACGAAACACTTGCAACATGCCTCTGAAACAATTGAAATATACGCTTGCAACATGCGCTTTCACACAACATCTCCTTGTTGCTTGCTGCACGGAGGGAGCGCAGCTACGTGCGAGGCCCCGCTGCACCAAGCCACCATGCCACTGCACTGCTGCCCAAGATCATCCACGAGCAAGCCAGCCATCAGCACAGGCGACGCGAAAGATATCTATGCAAGGAGGGCAGGAGGTGCATCAAGGAAACCGGCACAACATGACGCCATAACAAACAGGAGGGCCGTGCGACTGCATACGCGTGTGGCAGAGGAGTTCATCTACTACGCGCCGTCGGCGGGGGGCTGTGCCATGGGATGGCGTAGGAAGCGGCCGGAGAGGCAGCCACATCTGGCACCAGAGCAAGGCGAGGACGATGTAAGGGCCAGGAGGAAGATGGGAGGCCGCGGCGGGCAGGAGGTGCGATGGAGAGGGAGGAAGACGGGCGGTTGCACTCGGGCGTGGTGGAGATGCTGGCTGGCGAGCGCTTGGACGCCAGAGGCGGCGTGACGGAGCACGGTCACGGCACTATGGTGATTTCTGCTCATGAACGATTGCCACGTTTTATCAAAAGAAAGAAAGAAAGATTGCCACGTAGTAAACTAGTAATAATGAAGTGATTGAATAACTAACTCATATATAATCGATTATCTTTAAGTTATCTTATAGGAATTTAATTATTCTCAATTTGTGCAATCAATAAAAAAATTTGTGAGTTGCATAGCAACGTTAAATCGCACAATGGTGAAATACAGTTGTTTTATATAGTTTAAATTTTTGCTCATGAGGTGACCGCTCTACGAAACAACCATGTCTTTCTCTCTCTCTCCTCCACGCTATTTAAAATCTTATGTGGCATTACATGAGTCAACTTTTGAGATTGTACTAGTGTATCCGCCCTGAGGCATTGACACTGGACAATAGTCCGATTGCGTTAATAGCTAGTTCCCAAATGCACCGTACGCTGAGTCGGTTATGTCGAGCATCACATGCATCGATCGTTCATCAGGGCTCGCCTACATCCTAAGGCCAACAAGGTATCCATCTCCATGAGCTTGGATGATTTGGACATCACATTCAAGTCTGCTGGTTTTTTTTTCCGTTTCCTACTTTAATCTCTAGCTCGTCGATAGACGATACAAGATGCATTACGGGGTGAGAAAAGATACAAGGTTGATTTATTTGTGATTGTGTCTTTTAATTTTTTAATTTTGGATCCGTCAAGTTAGCATTTGGTCTACTGTTATATTAGGTCATAAGCATAGTCATCTTATATTCTATAAAAAAATGAATTGCCTTGGCAACCATTCGTCAGTAAAGTGGCGCAACATTTTTAAAGCAAGTGGCAAAGAATTTAGAAGTATTAGGTATGTGTGATTTATTAATATTTTGTTTTTTTTTGAAACGAGGTTTTGGTAGTTTTAGAATTTGATAAAATAAAAAACTTTGAAAAATTGGAAGATGACGACGCAGGGTACAAAGCCCACGATAAGGGTCAGTCCGGCCCAAACTTCTGCCTCGGGCGAAACCCTAACAACCCCAGACCCTATATAACCACACCCGCCGCCTCCTTCTAAACCCTAGAAGCCCTCTGCCTCCTGCGCCTCCACCCTCGTCGCCACCTCTCTCCCTCTGGTACGTGCCGTCGCCTCGACCTCTGATTAGCACCGTCTCTTGCCGCCACGGCCGCTGCTTCGGAGACTAACCTCTTTCTCGTGTTCTCTCTTCGCAGAGACCGCAGATCCGTCAGGTGAGAGGAAGCAGCCCGCACCCATGGCCTCCGGCGAGCTCGCCTGCACCTACGCCGCCCTCATCCTCAGCGACGATGGCATCGCCATCACCGTGCGTTCTTCTCCCTCACTGTCGGCTCTTTTAATCTAACGTTTTTTGAGCGGTCGAGTGATTCCGTGATGGTTCTTCTTGGCAGGCCGAGAAGATCGCCACGATCGTGAAGGCGGCCAACATCAAGGTTGAGTCCTACTGGCCGGCGCTCTTCGCCAAGCTCCTGGAGAAGCGCAACGTTGAGGACCTCATCCTCTCCGTTGGATCTGGTATACACCCCCCTCTTGCTCTCAAGATACTTGTATGTTTATGTCCGTGGTGTGGATAGTTGCATGTTGGCAATTGTTGTAGATTTACCTTATCTGTTTATGCCGCTGGCCTGTTTTGATCTTGAAATATTGTTTGTCTTATTACCCACGCACTGTGATATGTTCAGTTCTATAAATTCCACATGACTCATTACTACATTTAGTTATCACCCTAACAATTGAGCCATATATTTGTGTACTGAGTATATAGTAACCGTCTTTTTATTTGAATTGAACTTATTTTCAATATGTGATGGTGGTGTTTGAATCATTGTTGCTATGTCAGGATAATCTTTGTGTTAGTGTAGAGACAGGGCCTTCAATATGATCAGGATGCAGTACACTTTAATTTCTGCCAGCATTACCTTAGGTGCACTAAATATATAGTTCCTTTGCAAGTTTATTCTGGCATTGGATGCTAGATTGTGTTGAATTTTTCACACTTTGCTTTGATAGTCTTCAATATTCTTAAAGGTCTAATCATTGGTGTATTGAAATTTGTTTGTAGGTGGTGGTGCTGCTCCAGTTGCTGCTGCTGCCCCTGCTGGTGGTGCTGCGGCTGCTGCTGCCCCAGCTGCCGAGGAGAAGAAGGAAGAGGTTAAGGAGGAGTCTGATGACGACATGGGCTTCAGCCTGTTCGACTGAGGAGCCCCTCACCCAGCCATTAGCAAATTCGCTTATGCTGTCCAAGACTATCTTATGTTATGTCTCTAGGCTTTTGTTACAAGTACTCAAGTTTTGAGTTTTTTGAGATGTGGCTATGGCAATGTGATGATGAACCCCAAACCGTCTTATTAGAGTGAAACTTGTTTCTATGTGGCATCAAAGTTAATGCTCTGGTTGATGCGCTGATCCCGATGGTTTGTTTTATATTCAATCAAAGAATTCAACACTTAATTGTTAGCTGAATTGTGCGGTTTTTTAGGCATCGTCTGCCGCTTGCATTTTAGGCCATTTCAGCCTTAGCAGTGCTCCCTTAATCCCAGAAAGAATGCAATTAAATTATCCTTTTTCAAGGAGTACGGCAATTAAATTATCAAATGGAACATGTTTTCAAAATGATAACAAGATGTTAATAATTTTTTCTATGAACTTCAGTCAAACTCAGAATCGTGTCTTTTTTGGTGACTGCTGTATTATTGATTATTGAACCCCAAGTTTATTTGAGCAGCTGTGGTATTGTGATGTGCTGTTGGTTAAAAGATTTTCTGCTAAATTCCCTATGGTGAAATCTGAAATATCCATAGAATGGCGAAGTTTGTAAACATAGCCAAAAAAGAATGGGAAAGCACATAAAAGAGCAGAAAAATCTTTGCTGCCAAAATCTTTACAATGGTGTTGCTACACATAGCCCCTCACCCTTCATTTACAAGAGCCGTCGACAAAACTTCTAGAAGCTACAAGTGTACACCTAGTAGACTGCAAAAAAACCGAAGCACGTCCAACGGCGCCACCGTGATCACCTATGGAACACTGTGTTATTCATACTACCTCCTCCATCATGTATACTGGTATCTGCTCTGCCTTTAACTATACAAAGTCGCATGCTCACAGGTTACATGTCTTGAGCCGCAACCAAAACTTTTACTTAAGCTAATGCTCATATAACCTCAACTAATGTTGCTTGTGAAAACCTCAACTGATGTTGCTTCGGTGTAGGATGTTCTTGTCCCACCTCCGTGCCTTCCCCTTCTCGATGAGTGCCTGTAGGACCTGCACCGTCCCTTCTGCATCCTCATCATTTGGGAGCTCGATGCTGAGGTGAAACAGGGGGACAAAGGCCGAGCTCATGACCCTGTTCCTCGTGCCACTTCTTTTGTCCCTAGGTGAAGTCTGTCCATTGCTCCCAACAATGTTCACTACCTCCTGAGACCTGTCCAGATGAACAACGCTCTTGAGGTGCATCTCTGTGTCGATTGACCACCGTGGGTCAGGAGGAACACCGACAAACTGAGGTGATCCTAGATCCACTAAATATGGGCTTGAGACTAGTAGAAGCAGCTTCTCAGTTAGCACAAGGAACTTCCCAGCCCCCTTGAGTGTCTTGCACATGACAAATGTCTCCTCCTTTAGTCTACCACTGTCAGCTTGGGCAAGCAACGATACACCGATGGCTTCTTCCCAGGAGTACGGAAACAAAGGGTGATCTCTGGCAACAGGCCTGGGGAAACGGACTCTCAAGTAGTTGGATTCATGAGGGTTGCTTCGGTTTCTTATGCTCTGGGCAGTTCTGCCTGTGGCTTCAAGAATGCTAGCCATAGGCCGTGCCACAAGCCCAGCTGTCCCCATTGCTAAACCTATAGGAACAGAAAGGCTGTTGGTTAAATGGGAATAAACTGAATATAAATGCTTAATAGAATGGTTGTACCTGAGATGACCCCAGGAAGACCATGTTTCTCAGCTCCCCTAATCGGTGATTGAAGGAGCCCAGTCAGACCCTGGAGAAAATCATTACAGCGCAGAACACACATTATGCTTAGATAAATGTCCAGCAAGATTTATGGTGAAAAATGAAAAAAAAAATCCCCACATGTTTATCCCAAGCTGAGCTCATATATTATTTAGTTTTAAAGTGTAAATAGGCATATGCTGTAAAATTGTTGAAATCAGATGGCAATGCACAATCAAGAGAGATGACTTTTACCTCTAGAAAACCATTCAGTACTCCTTCCCCATGCAAACCTAGCTGTCTTTCCCGTTCTTCCATCTTCGAAGCAGCTTGCTCATCATATGTAAAGGCAACAAGGCCCTGGATAATGGAATTTCTCCTTAGCAGTGATTTCAGGAAACATATTCTTCAATGATCAAACAGGTCTTCAGCATAAATACCTTATAAGCAGTTTTACTGAAGTGAGAAGTGGCGCTGCTGACTGCATAAACTGTACTTCCAATAAGAGTTTTTGAACCTTGTGCTATACCGTTTAATAGTTCAACTGGGCTCTGTAAAAAGAGCAACCCATAGATCTTGAGTTCAAACTGGAAGGTTAGAGAGTGGACATTCCTGCTAAGACTTCACATTTACAAACCTGCAATTTCCCTTTTCTTGAAGCAGATATGAAGTCCTTTAGACCAAACCCAACATTCCTAGCAAAACCCATAGGATTTCCTATAACGCCAGCAGAACCCAAAACCTGCATTAAACAGTCAAACATAATTTCACAAACCTAACAATGTTGAGCTAATAGTCGCAAATCCTTTTGTGCCCATTTCAGAAACCAACACTATTTTGGATTACACTTGTAAAACTACAACTTTGTGGTCATTCCCCTTTCATGGTCAGTTGGCCCCACATATAAGTGACATTCAATAGCTCAAGATATTGGTAGGTTTGTAAAATGCATTCTAGTCAATTCATTTGGGATGCTACCATTTACCTTATAAAGTTCGTGGAGGATTTGCCTGCTATAATGCCTCACAAGAATGTCCTGAACAGATTGCCAGCTGGCCATAAGATTTTCCGCAATAATTTCTCCAAGGTAAACTGGTACTCCTTCAACATCTAAGAGGGCCATAAGACCTCTCTGCAACCAAAATGGAAACATTCAGGGGCAAAAGATACAATACAATCTAACATATATATGCAGATCATACATACTACCAACAGATCAAACAAATATCTAAAAGCTTTTTTTTTCTCAAACATGCAGGAGAACTGTGTATTGTCTAAAAGCAGGTGTACGGGAAAAACACAAAAAGAACCACTGAAAATTATCTATACTTATACTAGAAAATATGTTGGTAAGCAACCTTATAAGTGCAGACCGTAACATTGGAAACATGTGCCTATCCAGGCTAAGAACCTTAGCTACTTGAGTAGATGCAGTTCAGGCCGTTCCATGTGTGTTGGGTGGGTGGTTGAGACAGGGGAGGGGGTTCTCCCAGGGCGGGGTGCCACCATACTTCTTAAGTTGACATTGAAATTTTCCTTTTGGGGAATGCAATCATTATCGTGCTATTCTTAGTTCTCGTAAAGAAGTTGCAATACAGAATGAAGTCACAAATGCATGGAAAGATAACTTCTATGTTGTACAAGCAATTGCGAGGACAGATTAAATAACTCTATAAAAACAGAAAATGTTCATAAAAAGAAAGAAATTTATTTGTTAAGGGATATGTATCTCCACCTGGATTGCAGTAGTGTTGCTGAAACCTATGCTGGGGTCTGAACCACCTTCATTCCTATTGAGCCAAGGTGTGCTCGTAAAACTACAATGTAAAACATAGTTGCCAGTGGTAAGTTAATAAAATATATACATTTCCTGCAGTCATAACCACAAAACATTAGAGAAGAATAACCTGAAAGTCAACTTGACAGGAGTCAACTGAAACAACTCAATGTACACCTTTTTCTGCTTTCTGGCTAAAAGGTGTATCTGTTGCCATGGAGCACCAACTGGGACAACAGAAGGCAACAATTCACTGTCTTGCACCAGGAGCTTGTCTGATATATTCTTTGAGATTTTTTCATATTCTCTTAACATGTCCGTAGCACCACCTAAAATACTTAGCTCAAGACTTTTCTCTAAGTGTCCAATATTTATTCTAGAGGAAACAGATCTAAAAAATTCAATCATGCTCAAGACAAGTCGTTCTTCAAGTTCAAGGCGAACAGGAGCTACACTGCCAACCAACAAACAAAAAGTGTCACCACAAGTTCACATATGACGAATTATCAACAAAGAGTAACAAGTACCTTATGTTTATATATTGGTAGGAAACAAATGATACATCTCTGGTTCTCCATTTAGCTGCAGTAAATTGCAGCACAGGCTCTGTGGTATTGGAAAGAATGTCATTTGCTGATTTCAGCTTAGTATCTTTACTCTTAAAAAAGTTCATGGATTTTCCCTTATGACTGCCCTCAAATGACAACATGACAGGGTGTGGGCTATCAGGGAACTGATTATCAATTTGCATAGATTGTATTTGAACCGTAAATCTCTGCTGATCTAAACTCTGCATGGCAACAACTGTCATCTCCTTGGCAGAAGCAAACAACAATTCCTGTCAAACAAACTTAAGTATAGTAAACAAACTTCACTCAAGTCGTAAGTGATGAGAAACATAAGTAAAGTAAAACAGACATAGTCAGTTCACCTGTGGAGAAGAACTTATTAGAGATATCCCGATGAATGGTAAGTGTATTTTGATAACTTCAGCAAAATTCATGTCAAGCTCCAGTTTGTGATCAGCAACTTTAGGTTCCTTTGATCCCAGAATTTTTTTTTCTTTTGTTTCCGTATTGTGGCAATTTGAATCAAGAACACTTAGCACCTACATATTATGATTGTAAATCAAATATTGACAAAAGAAATGAATCAGACAGTTCTAGGGCAGATAGTGGGCCGGAAACTGACCTTAATCGCTCCTTCCGCATGCATTGAGATGCAGAATTGTCTTTCAGCTTTCTGTAAAAGATATGTATGACATACATATCAGGAAGGAAAACAATGCAAAATATAAACAATCGCTGATAATAAAAATCAGTTAAAGATTGCGATATGTAAGGACAAGCACCAATCAAGCTTTCTCCCATTCTTTGATGTCATTATCTAGTGCTTCCATGTGAAATTGGACCAAGTCATTCCCAAAAACATCTGGACAGGAAACTAAAGATTTCTAAACTCTAATCACACAGGGCAAGTAATCATAAACATCCTGACAATGTACTATGGACGTTTATACACCTAAGTAGGCACATACACAATGTGTCTATCTTTCTCAAACAAAAAAACAGGGGAAAAACAAAAGCAACAAGAAACAAAACCGAAGAGTAGAACTTTTACTTGCCTGGACTCAGCAAGGACACAACCTATAAAATCTCACTACACTAAATGCTAGTCAAATTTAAAGGCAATTATTTACCTCGGATGTAGAAGGTAGCGACACATGAACATCATCATTGAGAATGTCCAGATTGAATGTACCCAAACTTCGTTCTCCAGGAATCTGTACATAGTATGGGGAGAAACAATGTTGCGTAATTGTTTAAGACAAGTTAAAATTCATAAAGAGCTAATATACCTCAACAGTAAGGCGATGAGGATAGCAAGGCTCATCCCAAGCATATTGACAGGATGTGTAGGGATAAACAATTGTTTCAATAGATTCACATCTCTGTTGATATATCCGCAGTTTCTGAATTTATTGAAAGAGTAATCATAAGAATGATAATCATTAAGTTTTCAAACAAAGCCAGGCAGCACAACTAGTTACCTCCATTGAAAAATTGTCGATCCTGTAAGGTACAAAACCAGTCTTATCATCAGATAGCAGAATCAGTACTGTACCAGTATTGACATTATTTTTTCCAGAAAATCTCTTGCTGTATACGTCTAGATCGGCATTTTGCACTTCAACTCGAACCATATATGATAAACCTGAGGCATTATTCCGCATTTTCAATTGAGCATCTCCCAGGTGATCAGGGAAAAAACTTCCAGACCATTGCCATCCTGGGCCATCAAACCGAACGGAGACCAGCAACTCTCTAAAAACAAGGTTGTTCAGCCCAAACAGTAAAATATTGGAGGATGCACAAACAGCAAAAATGAACATAGCACTCTGGTAAGAATGAGATTTCGTTCCCTTCATATTTTAAATATGAGTCAAGAATAAGGTTTATTCCCTTTTCACATTTTTAAAATACAAGTCACATCAGTATATAGTAAACAAGTGATTGTGGCATGGACACATCATTGGAGAAAGCAGGTCTGTCTAACATTTCGATCCAGGTTTCTGCAGTATGCATGCCTAAACTGTAAAAATCCTTTCTTTTTTTTTGTGTTATTAAGCATTTCATATATTCAAACAAAGCAGGCTATCAAGGTATACAGGGTAGTAATGATGCAAATCACCTGGCTGTATCAGACCAGTGAAGGAAAGAGTGTTGCCCAGAACGTAAGTGCTTAGAAAATCGTGTTCCTTTTTGTCGAAAGAACAAATCATTGCTGCATGCATTACATATGACATATCTGCAAAATAGTAGGGACAGAGGACAAAAGTAGATATTAGGCAGGCGAACAAAGAATGGAATGAAATTGTACAAGTAAAAGAAGCTAGAATTGTAAACATAAGGAAAAGTTTTAATGGCAGAAACTATAAATCCAAGAGACCAAGATATACATTCTGCACACATTAGAACACTCACAACAAAGAAAACAAGAATTTTGTTATATTAGTTTTATACTACATCTAAATTTTTGACCAATGGAGGCCTCCGGGGGCACCGATTGAGATGGTTTGGCCATATCCTACAGAGGACTCCACAGGCACCAGCGCATAACAGCATATCCTGAGGGATCCCGAATTACCGATAATGTAAGAAGAGGCAGGGGGGTAGAACAAACCTGGTATGGGAAGAGGGCAGTAGAGACCTGAGAGAACGGATATACTATCTTTAGAACGGACCTCATAGGAATCAGCAATCGATGTGCCCGAACAAATACTATTATCATACTACTATGATTACTTTTAGTCACTGGCGGACCCATGGCCCGGTGAGACCCTTGGCCTCTGCCCGGACTCCTGAGCATTCAACTCCACTAGGCCTAATTATTGTGTAGCCCATGTATAGAGAAGATTAGGCCTGCTCTACTGCTTAGCCCACTAAACTGTCCAGGCTTCTAGAAAGCTTTGGGTCTGCTACTGCTTTTAGTAGTACTTTTTTATGCTCATACCTGTGTCTTTTTGTCAGGTTTTGCCTCTAATCTAACATAACTTGCTTGGGACCAAACATTAGATACCAAGTGGCACAAGGGCAGGGAGATAAGACACACCTTGAGCCCCAGCCAAAACTTCCAAAACCTCCTCTAAAATCAGAGACACAACACCAGTCAGGGAGGAGGAAACACCGTCAAAAACACACAGATTGTGGTGAGTCCAGATAGCCCATACTCCTAGGATGATGATTTAAACCTTTACGGGACCTGGCCATTGACTCTATCATTAACAGAAGTCCAAATTCATTCTCCATTTTAATAAGTTCTAATAACCATGTTGCTCAAGGGATTTCTTTTATGGTACCATCACAAAATATGCCGAGCTATTGTAACAAGACTCATTTCACATATAACCTGGTATGAGCAATTTGGGTTTACAGTGGCAAAGGAAATCATGCCCATGTCAAAGAACAAGTAAAGCTCCATTTTGCTCTTGGTATTGGAGGGCTAGGAATCTCCAACCTTCAAAATCTGAACTGGGCCCTAAAGATGAGATGGATTTGGCTGCAAAAGACTGAGGCTAACCACCCTGGTCTGCATTCGCAATTCAAGTTCATGGTTGTGTCTGGGCCTTATATTCCATGGCAGATTCGCAGTAGTGTCAGAAGTTGGCAACGTCACTTCCACTTTATTTTGGACTGATAGATGGTTGCACGGACAGTGTATTGCGGATCTCGCACCCTGGCTGTCTTCACTTGTGCCGAAGAGGAGAGCTTATAAGAGGACTGTCCAAGAGGCCCATATGAATTATTGTTAGGTGTCTGACATCAAAGGTGCTAGTGTTGAAGTGATAGTTGAGCATTTTGATCTCTGGGACGTGCTTGGTCAGGTGGTTTTACAACCTGAAGTAGAGGACTCTCACATTTGGTGCCTCTCTACTTCCGGCAAATACTGCGCCAAGTCGGCCTATGAAGGAATGTTCGTGGGTGCTATTCCTTTCAGACCAAGGGAGAGGATTTGGAAGTCATGGGCTCTAGGAAAAAGTCGTTTTTTCATGTGGTAGGTGGCTCATAACAGGTGCTGGACTGCCGATAGTTTAGCACAGCGAGGTCTACCACATGCTCCTCGCTGTCCACTTTGCAATAAAAGGAAGAATTGATCAATCACTTGCTCTGTGCTTGCCCCTTCTCACAGGAATTTTGGTTTCTGCTGCTGCAAAAGCTTGGCCTGCAGGCTCTAACCCCGCAGATCGACGATGTCTGTTTCGATGATTGGTGGGAGAGGACAGAATCCTTGATTGATAATCAAACCCGAAGAGGACTCAACTCTAGTATAATCCTAGGAGCTTGGATAATTTGGGAACACAGGAATCGCTGATGGGCATCTCCAAATTTAGCTGGAACTTTATTGCTCGCTAAAGAGGAGCTGCTGAAATGATCTTTGGCCGGGCCTAAAGGAATTACCCACCTTCTTGGCATTGTGCCGGAACAGTAGCCGGCTTAGGCTTGGTAGGGTCATGATTGTGTTGGTCATCGGCGGTCTGTGCAGCCTTTTGTAAAGGCAAGTAAACTGGACTGCTTTGTGTGTTTTTTTGTGTTTGGTGTGTTGTGTGTGTTTGTAAGGGTTCTTGTCCCTTTTCTTCTTAATGCAAAGAAATGCAGCTCTCCTGTGTTTTCAAGAATTTTTATTTTTGCTCTTGGTACACAACCAAACTGTTATGCTTTACTTTCTAGCGACTGGAGTTGTTTCCTTAAATAAAAGTGATCTGACACATTTTATACATGAGAAATCCACACTCTGTATACGGCTGTGGCAGATAAGGATGACTGCTTAAAAACAATTTGTTGCCACAGTAGTTGGTAGATGAAAATGGAAACCTTTCAATTACCTTGGCCTGAAAGCAATAGCCCTTGTCCTCCCAAAAAGTTCTGTTGAAACAGGTATAGATGCCACTGCAACTAAGAAGGCACCAGAAGTAGATGACTGGGGAATAGTAACATTTGTTGAACCACTGGCAGGGACAAGGAGGAATGTATTTGACCAATTTCGCCGAGTTGTTTCAGTTCCATTATTAGGCGGAGAAGCATTCAACTTAACTGAAAGTTCAGTTGCTGGAGTGTGCCCATCAGGAGCAAACATATAAGCTTTAACACCATTGTCAAAATCTTTCTTTACAGACTCACTGTTACTGGTGCAGCTTATCTCTGAAGAAGAGCAGCGTCCATCAATCAAATCTAAGTGGGGCATTTTGCCTGTAAAGCACCTGCAGGAGAAATACAAACACAAAAGTGTTAGAGCATATATAGAAACAGATAAGAAGTGAATTTCTAAAGGACATCCCCAGACCCCACACAGAGCGGGAGCTCTCTGCACTGGGTACGCCCTTTTTTTTTACAGAAAGACACTTACTGTACAGATGGATCAACAAGAGAAAGACCACTTTTTTCAAGCAAATGTCTTGCATGTCCATCCAACTCAAAACTAGGAGGAATCACAAGGGTGGACCCACTCCTCTCAGAGCTGCTTTCAGTGACAGTAAGCAATAGATCTGTGCAATTGTACAACAAGAATGGAACAGAAAGATACAACTCCCTTGCGCCAGAACGAGCATCCATTGATTTTTCCAGCATAACATTAAGAGGAGCTGCAGAACAAATTAACATCAGAACTTTATTACAGTGGGCTTAAGTTTAAAAAAAACCCCCCAAAGTACATACAATTCGACAAATTCGAGTAGAAAGTAATCGACTCTGTTATGGAGAATTTGAAGCCATTTGACTTCGCTGCAGTAGAGAATGATTCAGCCCGGGGAAACTTTATGTTCAAGGACCTATAATCTTGGATATCAATTGTAATTCCAAGATCGTTGGAGGGATCAACAAAAAAAATAGAGGCAGACCCTACCTGTGAATACAATTCAGTCACAAATTTGAAATGAAAAACCAAACCGGCTGAGGTAAGATATATGCATGGCACCAGAAGCTTACCTCCTTTAGCGAAACTACATGTGCTGACCCACCATTATCTATTGCCAAGGAAATGCAAACAGGGAGATAGTTCTTTATGAGAAGCGGAGTATTAAGCTTGACATGCCGTATAAAATGAGTCCTTGTCAAATTTTGCTTAAAAATATTTGGAGTAGAACTTCCAGAAACTTGTGTGTCCAATCTTTCACTGCACAACTGGCCTTTCTGGGTACTAACGGATGAAGGGACATTGTATTCTTCAACAGATACACAACAACGAAATGGATCATTACTAGGGTGAGAAGGATAGCAAACAGATGATTTCATGAACCCAACCCTGCTTTCACGTGAAAGTAAACTTGACAAGGAACGCGTTTCACTCCACAAGTATGTTCTGCCAACAGGATGCCACCTAATCTGGCCAGCTTCAGACAAATGAACTGGCAGTGGAATTTCTTTGTTTGGAGGAATGGGCCCTATTACCTGCAGAATAAAGTTTCTTGAGAAATCTCATATTTGGTTCTTTTGGTGGAAACTATTTACCTTGTATAGAGGTGAAAAATTTAAAGGCATAGAAGTGCAACTACTGACTTCCTAATAATAAGTTCATCTGAATTTTGAAATGGTTACAATGTCGAAGATTATGTACCTTTGATGTAAGACCAAATGGTATATCGAACCTCAATTCGAGGGGCATTGATGTTGCATTGTATAGTATTACCTAGAAAAGGAGGCCATTAATCTGTGTATGCATCCAATGGTGTAGTAACTGACTATTGAAATGGGCATTAGTCATTACCGTTGAGTAAACTCGTATACGCTTGCTGTAGTTCTGTAAGGAAACATCGAGCACCACAGGCACAATTAACCCATCGTTGCCTTTTCCATTAGACGAAAATGCTCCTAAACTTTCTTCGCCGAGAATTGGCTTTTTACTTGAAGAGAAATTTACTTCAAAGAAGTTAATGCCCACAAGGTCCATTGACATTGGCTTTGAAGGGCCTGACGTACCATCAAACTCTATGGAGATCATATAGTGTGATACAGCACTCATTCGTTTCTCGATGAGATGGTCTGACGATCGCGCTTCTCTGTGTTGGAAGAAAAAATCATCAAGAGTTTCTTCGACGTAAATTGGGACAGCATACCCTGCCGGTACAGAGTTTTCATCTATTACAGAGAAACTGTCAACATCATCTGAATTAACAGCACCACGGTACACCTTGAACCTAAAGGGCAATGATGTGTCATTCGAGAGAATGTATGGCGCATATCTTCTGGTACGAACATCATCATGGCTTAATCTCAAGATTCCAGGATCTTCCCGAAGACCACTACCATTACTTGGATCAAGAGAATCTGTAATCATCTGGCTAAGTCTGAGGATAGCCTACACATGCAAATGAAGAGTTCAAAACAAAAAATTAAAAAATTGTCTCATAGGTAAATTCTAAATTCTAAGTGTTCCTCAACTGATTCAAGTGACCCAAATCCCGAAAGGCCCAAATTCTGCTCCTACCTCTCATTTTCCTTAAAACCAGATATGTAGCAGATATAATCCAAATGGGAAAAGCTTGGTATACAACCATTTGAGTACAAGTACAAAGATGCATCTAATCGTCCAAAACACTTATGAGCTTTTTTTTTCTCGCGATGCTTTATTGTATTAAGAAAAAAAGTGGGGATTTAGGAACCCCTTACAAAACACACGCACACATACACACTCCTAGGAATGTGATTTCATCCAAGTGATTTCAAATGTAGGATCTTGAGTTGTACTCTGACTATAGTCATTGCAGAGTCTACTATCCTGATTGTTGAATCGAGTTTTTTACTGGCAGTTAAACTACCAATAATATCACTAGGATTTATAACAGAATACTCTCACTGTTCCACATTAATCTGTTTTGGCTTTTCTAGATACACAATTCTTACTATGTATCTAGACATAGCGCATATCTAGGTTCATAGCAAAAGCCGCATTCCTAGAAAAGCCAAAAGCGACTTACAATTTGGAGCAGAGAGGGAGTCGCCATTTGCTATATATGCGTACCCGAGTGCACTGGTGCAGGGAAGGGTGTCGGTGGCAAGCCTTACCCTCGCTGTGCAATGCGAGGAGACCATGACTTCGAACCGGGACCTTCCGGTCACAAAGTGAAGAGACTCTACCGCTTGCACCAGGCCCGCCATTTGCTATATGGCAAGAGAAAATTTCTTTTCTTGAACAACACATGGCAAGAAAAAAAAAATCACATTCACATACCTCAATTAAGGGTTCTGATATATTCAGATTAAGCTGCTTGCTTGAACTTAAACACACATCAGTACTTGGTGATATATCAAGTCCACAATCACCACATTTTCTTAGCATATGTAACTGAAATCTTGAGGGTTCTACAAAAGGTTCCCACATAACCTATAAATATATAAGTTGTTATTTCAGCACTATCATAGCGAAAATTTAAGAGGCAGGAACATTGTAGTATTTTACCTTGTCAATGTTATTGTAATTTACTAAAAGGTCAACAAAAGCAGAAATTTCTGTCCTATCCTTCATTTGACTAAACTGCACAGTTAAATTCTTCAATAAGGTCTCTATTACAGGTCCATGACTGCTCCACTGTCAAAAGCATTGCCAAGAAAAATAAAGAGCAGGTTAGAGCTTGAATGGAACTTATGTAACTCAGCATATTGATGTATAAAAAGCTCAGGAGAACATATACAAATCTGTTTTATTTACTGAATTCAAGATGCTTCAAACCTATCTAATATCATCAATTAATGAAGCAAACATAAACATAATTATCCGTGCTGTGCCTGATCCCGTCCGATGGTCCAAATTCTTCTTTGGGTCAAAACATATCAGCACCATGCTGCTCTCTGAGCTAAAAAAATATATAATGATCTCCGATTACAAAATTAGCCATATATTCTAATATCTTATAATAGCTAGTACTAGTTAGTTTCCATTTTGTGATATTCACAATATTACATTATGCTCTTTTCTCAAAGTCAATATCATTGAATTGTTTTTTTTATCTTCTGAATGTTGGCGTAAGATCAACTTCCAATAATATTAATGCACATACCAGAACCAAACATTCCCAGCATTTAACAAGCACCTAGTTTATGTTTAGTAAAGGAACAAGCAGCACAGTTACAGAGCTTACCCTTCCATCATTTAGCAGAAGAGACCCTTTCCTCAATCCTGCCTTGAATGCCACGGAATAAAAAGAGGATGCAGATGATGCAGCAGGAAATTTGAGTTCCATATTATGCCAGAAGTTAAATATCTGGTGTGAAAAACTAACATCCATGTATTCAGCTTGTAGGTCAACAGAAAGATGTTCCAAATTCCTTTCTGATTGATGAACATAACCAGAAGATTTAACCTTAGATATATGCACAAATGGAACGGAGGTACCCTTATTCTCTTGAATCATTTCCAGCATTACCTTCAATCTCTCTAAATCATATTTAAAATTCATGCAGCTATCACCTGACATCATCACAAAATGTTTACTCTCAAAAGTTAAGGTGACAAACTTGCAAACTTTTGGTTCACAATATTGAATATCATCTGCCTCATGATGAGTGCCCACTTCCGTTGGAAAAGGAGTCACACCCATGTGATTGCTTGTGTGATTTTCTTCTTTCCCCCAGATAGGTATATGGAGTACACCAGCAATAGTTTCACATGTTAGCACTAAGTTGAAGTCATCTGGCGAACCAAATTCTGATGCAATAAGTGGTGATGATGCCGTTTCTGGAAACTGAGACAAAGCAGCTGCATGCTCCACAGGCGTACTGTTTACGTCTGTTTTCACATATGAATGGCAATGATTGATAATCGTATTCCAATCCTGTAAATATAACCAGACCTCGAAAAGGGGTACACTTAGTAATATCTCATCTTGACCAGCATGGTGCTTTGTAAACTTGACGAAAACAGGAGATAATGGCCCATCGGAAACAATGGAGATGAGAGTGTAACCACCGGATGACAGCAGCGTTAAAGAAACAACATCAAAGTTCATGTGCTCTGGTTTTTCACCAACTAGTACAGCAGAAACATCAAACTCCATGTTTGCAGTGGCAATCCTCTCCAGTGCCACTTTATCTTTAGACTGACCCAAGAGAATCATCAGATCCTTGATCGAAATAGTGAGATTGGTACACTCATTAGGGTCAGGGTTGCCCTCGTAGAAAACTTCTATGATCTAAAACTGCAAGGCATTGCCTTTGTACATTTTACTTTCATTGCCGATCGAAATCAACTGGTCAACAACACCAATAACTGTCTCCATCCCATTTATAAAATATAGATCTGCATAAGATTTGACAAAGTTAAAGCTAATATTACAAAAAAATACATTTGAAGAAGTTGAAAAACAAGTTCAATGATGATCTGGTACCTTCAACAATCAAGTTGCATCGTGATATTTTGCTCATAATTGAGGTGGGTAAAGTAGGCTGCTGGGAGTATGGTATATCTTTGCAAGGAACCTGAATCCATATGCCAGCATCAAGCTTTTCAATAAGAGAATGGATTCTCTTAGGGCACGCTCTCATCAAGCTTCAGCATAAAATCTGTATGGTCGCTGACAATTAGAAGTGATATGGATGCATTTCTTGCATATATGCAGATGGCATCAACTCTTCTGGAAACTATGCACTCCGAACTGAAGAATTCTTTGGGGATACGCTTTGCAAATTCTACAGAGCTTCCAGTCGCAATGAACTCACAGAAAAAATGTGGAACCTCCAGCTTTAGACAAAAGAAATCTTGCTCTTCCACAGGAAAAATTACAACACAATCACTGATCTCAAATTTGTATGTTACACAGTCATGTGATTCTCCCAAGCACTCAAGATTGTTACCTGCCACAGGGAATTCCTGTTCTGCATTAGGATTCCAATCATCCAACAAAAATAATCCAACAAACATAGCCAGTAACTTGGATGGCAATACACAACAAACATTTTGAATTCCAACACATACTTCGGTTGACAGTGCAGGTAAGTCCTTTTTAACTTTCGAGCGTTGAGTACACTAGCATTGCGATGTGAAGATGTGCCCCAGAGCAGCTCATGGATATTTGGTGGAGTCCATGGTGAAGCAAGAGTCAAATTGTTAGCAGACAGTAGTAAGTCCCATGAGCTTGCATCAAAATAAGTGAGTGTTGATATAGATTCAGGAATGGTTATTGTTGCTAAAGTACCACATGATTCAGGAAAATGTACTCTAACATAAATAAGTGACAGATCCAGAACAGTTCTGCTGGCATTCTTGGGGTCATTTGATGAGGTGGATGAACAATTTGAGCGCTTGGGTTTTACAGTGTGTATTGCTGGCAAGATCTGATGAATGATAACCATTCACACCTGAAGTGTCATGACATTGCTCATTCTTTGAGTATAAACTTTCTTGTGCTTCAACATCTTGAGCTCCTAAGCACCCAAAACTATATCCACAACTGTAATCTGCAACTAAAAAGGGGAAGTGGTCAACAGAAACTCCTGCAAATACTGTGCCATCTGCACCACATAAATTTGACAAGGAAAACTTGGGAAGTATGCCATTAGTTGCCCTGGATTTCATGGAACTCTGACCAATCATTGTGGATTCAACATCACTGCCAACTGAAGGTCCTGAATCAAGTTTTCTCAAAAACATCTGTATCTGACCAATAACAGATGGGTTAACATGCAGATCAACATCACATAAATTCAGCTGGTATAAATGATGCATTTGATCATCATGCTTATGAGTTCTATAATGCAGATTCAAGCAAGTTTCAACAGAATTTTCAGGACATCGTGTTAAGTTCCCAGATAAGCATAGCACATGTGAATCTGATTCATCCTTCCGATAATTGGAAGTAACATTGACCGTCTTCATGGCAAGAGAAAGGTCTGACAATTCGCAGATAGCATACCTAGAAATCACAGCAGCAATTCACATAAAAGAATAGAAAATAGTCATGATTCAAGGTTGAAAATTAGTAGCCAATTATTAACCTGATATCAATGTCTTCAATGCCAACAATGAGACCTGAACTTTCCTCACAATTATCATCAAGGTCAACCTGTAAACCCAACTTGGCTAGCTTCAGAGACACAGACACATTTAAGGCCGATTTCTTGTGTCCATGTGTCTTGGGATTATCAAGCACACTATTCTTGACAAGGTTAGTTTCTTTCACTCTAGGCAAATTAACAATGGCACTGTACATTGTCTGAGAGAGGTATACATCAATAAATGGCACAATAAAACCGACCTGCCAAAACGATAGTTCAGAAATACAGAAACTTACATTGGCAGAGAATAACGTAAGCAGACAAATCACATTGCAAAAACTAGGGTGAACAAACTTTATTACACACTTATATAGCTATTACCAAAAATAGATCATTAATTAAATACATAATGAGTCACCGTCCTTCAAAAATCTTACCTCCAATTGTTTTAGCACTGGTTCATCTAGGAATACACACAATCGAAGTGCAACGGAAGCATCAAGCTTAACCAGTGTAGAGGAAACATTATGTTTGTCAGGCAGCAATACCTTCACCTGCAATCATTCATTTACTGTTGCTTCATATAGATATTGAATAACCAAAAAACGGAACAATAAACCATGCACAATGTCTGACCTGAAACCCAGTAAGGCCAACCTCAAACTGGTTATAAAGCTCATCCAACTGGATACCAAGTAACAGATAATCAGAAAAATAACTAGGAAGACTTTTTGATATGTGGTCAAGAAAGGAATTGCTTTCTTGTGTTCGAGAAATATCCTCAATTGTATCTTTAGACTGAATGAATACATCCCCAGCATCAACAACCTGCAATTACAATAATTGCTCAATGATAAAAGAAAATAGCTACTGAATCAACCAATTGAAGTTAAATAGAGACGGCACAATAATTAAGACCCATTAGAATAATCTTTTCTTCTGAAAACATTAAGCCAGTGCATCATTTAATTTTGTATTTTTGTAGGAGCCTGAGATTTTGAAACAATATTACAGGAAAACGGGGCCTTATATTATCAAAATGATAATATATTTCTTGCATCCTCCAACTTTGCTTACTTACATGATTTATTTACAAACATATCAAATGTCAAATTTAAATTTCAAACTTGAAATAAATTAAACAAAGCCAGTTTATAAAGTTCCGATTGGGTCCAGGGAAAATTGGTATCCATCAGTTTCAAACATGAATTTGGGAACTTAATCTGTAGAACTTATGTGCACATAAATATCATGGTATTGACGTGTCCCTTGAGCAAAAAATGTAAGGCAATGTTATTCAGCATTAGAACATACCATGGCAAGTTCTTTCTTTTCACAATTCTGTGATGGTAGCCTAATGACGAAGTGATGAATCCTCAAATCCCAAATAAGTTTTTTACGATTAGCAGACATGTACCTTGAATTATGATCAAAATATTACTCAACTTGTACAAGCATAGTGCAGTGTGAACAGAAAAGGAAAGGGGAGATGAGGAGATACTTCAGTTTGGAGACAAGTCTTGTTCCCAAATTATCGAACCGATTTAGAGAAGAAAGCACCTGCATTAATCAGGATAGCGATCCATAACATTTCTCCCAGGAAGATTTGCATGAAATAAGCCAGGTCTCTCTACCCAGCATACAGTATAGTTAAGTATTTCGATGGCCCAATAAGGAAATAATAAATGAGCTAATGTCAGGTCCAGGGAAACAAAAAACATTATATGACTGGAGGCAGGCGTCACAAGGTAGCAGATCTAATAATCTTATAGAAGTAAAGAGGAACTGAATTTACATTTTTCCAAATGAACAAAAAAATTACAGAGGGTTATGGTAACAACAGCAAACATTCTAAATTCTATTCTACTACCAAACCTTTTCAAAAAATCTCACTTGAGAAATCATTTGCATTATTGGCTATTGTATCCATCTCTTTCTTCATTACCAATGTTAGCAGTATTTAAATACTTACCCTATCATGCTGAAATTGGAAAGAGGAAAACAGATCATAGATGTGCAGGACATTAACAAAGAATTCTGGTTCATAGATGGCACTGAATTCCTGGACAACAACCTGAAATGAAACACAACAACATACCTATAATCAACATTTTATGAATACCACATATGCAATAAATTTCTCTTTTAACTGAATAGAAAGAACATAAGTACTCTTGTTGAAGCTTCCGATCTTTCGTTTGACTTGGGAAAGTCGACTTGGATACTGATAACAGGTGCCCCAAGACCATCACCGGTGCTACACTAAAATATATATCAATCAATTTAATAAATATAAGCAACCCACAAGAGGGGACAAAAAGATCTGAGGATTAAACTGTGGTGTACCTTTTCAGCCTGTAAGATTTTTGTTTCATTCAGTGGGTTGATAACCTGAAGAGAATCAAGCCAAGCAAGAATAGTTGCTGAATCATCCCATATTTTACATTCCATACCAAGCCCAGAAAACATTGTATCTACAAGCTTCATGCCAAACCCCCTAGACCATCAATGCGGGCAGAAAAGTTAGTCGATAACAAAGGGCCCCTCATCCCTCTTTAAGTATTTTTAGGGAAAAAAAACAGTAGGGGAAGCCCCTACTATTGTAAATATTTATTTATATATATAAGAAAAGCAAAAAAGGAAACACGTCTCACTTGAGAAAATAAAAGAAGAGCTAAAGAAAGGCCCAGAAGACCCAGGTCTCTCCAGCCTCCAGGAAAGAGGAAAGAGGAAAAAGCAGGAAGCAAGAACAACTAAACAAGTGAACTTTACGCAGCAAAAGAAATCTTGACCATTGGATGCTAAATATAGTATATGCATATGATAAAAAGAACAAATAACCAGAAGTAAAACAGCATTTATTCATACTCAAAGTAAAAGCATTTCTGTATACTTTACTATCTTATCTTGGTTCCTGTGTGTCTTATTGGGTTTCAATCTTAGCTACCACAAGTTTGCTTCGGCCTAAAGGATTTTGGTTAAGCTAAGGATAACTAGATAAGGGGCGTTTTGGGCACCCTTACAAAATAACTGAACACAGCCTGAGTTATCCAGCACATGAAAAAATGGGCTTTCTGATGGCAGTTTTCATGCGAGTTGTCAGAACTCTCAATTAGGCCAGAAAGAATTCTATGAAGACTGAACACATCAGTATTTCAAAGCTGCTTGTAGAGTTCAATTGCCACAGCGATGCATCTTTTAAATTGGTGTATTTTCCTCCCTTGCAAGTTGTTATAACTCTTATAAAGACTAAGTGTCAACCACATCTTTATAGCTCTAATAGAAATAATTACTGGATGTGCCAAACTTTTTGAGTAATTGGCTTTACTCAGTGCTTTTGAAGAACATGACAGCATGCCATATTCACTAAATTAGTTACATTATTAGTCGTGGAGGGGGCCACAAAAGAAAACAAACTGCAGCACTTGCCTGGAGGTGACAGTTGTGACTATCTGAGAAATAGATAGTCTAACAAACAAAGAATAGTAGTTTTCTTTCTTCAAACAATTTTCAGCAGAAGAAACTGGATGAAATTCCGTTCCCTCATATATATCCTGAAAATGGAAAACAAAGATTTTAGAACGGCCTGCTCCTACTGCACATTGCACAAAATTGGTTAACCACATAATATAACCTTAATAATGTCTTCAGAAATAACACCAGCAAATGAGCTACTGTCAGCTGTTCCACCAACACCAAGCATTCCAAGAGAAAGCCAGTTTAGCCATCCCTGGCTTGCCCCTGTCAACTGTTCATTGCTTCGAGGACTTCCTGGACTATGAGTATCTTTGGAAGATTTCACCAATGATTCCTGCCAATGATCAGTGAAGTGTTACCATAGATAACACCCAAAAAACAAGGCAAATACATTCTTATTAAACAAGAATAAAGGACTATGTCACCATGGTTATGCTGAAAAATGTGAAGGCTGAGCAACTAAAGATATATACCTTCCAATATTGCATGCATTAGATAAACATGATGTTAAGTTACATTCTACACCCAAAAATGTTAGATACCCCTGGTTCAGTCTCACTTTAAGGAACATATACACGACATGCAATTTGATAGGCCTTAAAGGCAAGTGCCTTCAATCAGTTTTTTTAAGCAGCTCACAGCAGTTGCCTTCGAACAGTATGTACTAACAGGAAACTAAAGCCCCTTTGGAGAGCAAATATTTGCTTAGTTACAAGGATAACAAAAGTTCAAACACCATCAAACCATCTTAAATAGGTACTGCCCAAGACAAGTGCTGTACCAATCATGAATCATTGATGTTATATATGGATGTACAGTGGTAAAAATGCTTAGGTAAAGACATTTTCAACATGACTAAACTGAATGAAATGTAATTCACAATCACCCTCAATGTTCTTCTAATAGAATCATCAACAACCTGCAGTTGTTGCTCTGCAATCGTTCTGTAGTTAAGTATGTCATCTATATCACATTCTTTGTCCATATTTTCCAACTCTTGTAGAATGTCTTCACTAACAATCTGAAAAACGGCGAACATTAAACAATGAAAAAATCATGAGAAGAATGATACGCAGAAACCATATTTATACGCATAAGGGAACAATCTACTGATTCAACAAAATCTAATTGACAAAATTCTCTAGAGAATTTCATCCATAAAGTTTTGTTTACTTGAATAGGAAATAATATCTACAGCATAATGAACTGAAAGAAGCCCGAGAAGGGGTTTTATAGTGAGTCACGACCAAAATTCAAAATTAGATAAGGTGGTTTCAATGTCAGAATCAGGTCTTTCAGCCAAACACAGCAGGGACAAATGGCAAGCTCATGTGCATATGACTTATCGTAAACTTTAAAAATGTGGGAATCAGCAAGCGAAATTACAGCTACCCAACCTTAAGCTTATTGTACACTTGCACTAAACTACAGCAATTGTTCATTGAGTTTACTTCGGAAACATGAAAAATTTAAAGTTTACCAGGAAAAGGATACCTGTCCTTTCTGCAAAAGCTCCAATTTCATTCTATACAATTTGACATATCTTAGTAGGTGATTCCTGTCAAACATATAGAAAAGACACAACTAAAGGCTTCCATATAAATGTGTGTTATAATCCAATAACAAGGAAAGTGGTAGAAAAACAATGCTGTATAAGCAAAAGACGTAAGTGTTGGTTCTACCTTAAGAAAGACCCAAAACAACAAAGTGCCAGTGCAACACAGCAACAGGAAAAATGAGAGTACAAACAAGTGAACATGAATCATAAATTGAAAGTTTCTAGCAATTGTAATAAATCTAATTAAAATTCGTACGCTTATTTATAATTTTTATTTAAGGTCTTTTCTTCTGATGATGGACTCAAATCAAGAGTGGTGTTTCTAGGGTTACAAAAGGAAAACAGGCCATCAATTTCAAACATCATCTATGAGAATTTGGTTTGATATTCCTATCTGTCAGCAGATAGCGTACATGCTTTGTTTTAGTCTCCCCTGATGCTTGCTAACAGAAAAAGGGAAACTAAAACATATTCATTAAATAATTTAGTCCATTTGCTGTGATTGACAACCTAACCTTGACACAAAAGAAGATCATAAACCACATATTTTTCTTTATTGCTGTAACGAACAACTTCCAAGATCAAATTTACAATGCCTACATTACGCCATTCAACTAATACAGTATTTCTTCTCATTTCAAATGTCAGTGATCAAATTGAACATGGAAAATCAAGCTTACAGTCGCTGCTTCAAATAACGCCATCGCCATGAAGTTTTCTTCAGTCTTCTGCGAACATCTGCTAATACAGAATTCTGAGCATATTGCCACCACATTCTCTGCCAACCTTTACATCTCTTAGATATAGAGCTTTGAGATGGACGGTAACGACCATATCTGTGAAGTTATGGAATATTGTTAGACTTTGTTTGCTGCATCAGCAATTATGGGTAACTCAAAATCAATCCAATATTGACATTCAACAAATCAGAAACCCAACGAGTTCCAGATATTCAAAACGTGAGTCCCATTGTAAAAATACTGTTGTCAGAAACCTTTTCTTGGATGGTTACTCAGATGGTAGTGAGTATCTGCTACAAATTACATACCCTCACTTGCTGGCTATATCGTGGCAATTCTAACATATAAAAATAACAACCATATCCATTCAAAGGTAGAAGGATCAAGGGTGAGTGGAACAGAGAACGTCTTCAAGGCAGGAATAGTATCTTTTATGAAGAACAACAAAAGAAACTCATGATTTCCGTATAAAAATAAATGGTAATGCATTTAATAAGAAAATAGGATAGGGTTTTAGCCATCTAAATTAGAATAGCTTACTTTGTTACAAAAGCACAGATAGTGAAGTAATCACAAAGATTTAAGATTTGTTGGAGCTGGATTTCATCAACAGATAGAGCCTACAGAAACAAGATGAAAATATAAGCAGGTGATACTGAAGTTCTTCACTGATGATAAAATAAAATGTGCTGCTTATAAAATTACACATCTAGAGGAAGTTAAAAAAAAACAAACCAATGCAGTTAGCTCTGCAGTCATGTCATACTGAGGGGTACCATCAAGCTTGGCAGCTTTGTTAGCCTACAATGAAGACATTATTGCATTAGATTAGATCAGGCTGGTCATATTCAGCAAAAAGGTAACTAAATAAATATGAGTAGTTAGAAAGCATTGGAAGCCTTATGAAGAAAACTGATGACAGTATCAACGTTGAAGAATGCACTTACAAGCACAGATACAGTCACACAAAATGGATTTACAAGATAATCATCCCTTGAGTGGCCATTTTCAAGAGCACCAACATGGCATAGGTCCTGTTGTTCTTCCAACTGATGACAATAAATTCCAACATCTGATATCTCTATTATCTTATTTACTTCATCTTGTCTTGACCTAGCCATCAATGAACTGCACAGAAAGACAATGAACATTAACATATTTAATACAAAATCAAATATGTTTGAATGAACTGCATGAAATGCTAAAATGTCTAAGCATACAAAGTATGTGGCAAGAATGTTTCTTGAAAATATGCAAGAGCAAATTTTAACGACTTTGTAAGAACTTCCTATCAGTTTTCACAGTGTATTGCAAACCAGAAACATAAGTCTATTCATGCAGCTTTATCCGTAAATAAAATCAGGTATCTTAAGTGCTCCATAAGCGAATTTTGAGCACCACAGGAACTCCAAAGGCAGAACTTTTGAGTTAAAAGTAAACTATTCTCATGCAGTTTTGGGCTCCTTCAAGAGTGGAGGCATTCATGTGAAATGATAGTTTCTTCAGTATGCTTCCATATTTAATTTAAGCTGGTAAAGTGGCAATATTTCCCAATGCATTGCAACACTAAGGCATCTTCACATAACTGCAAGCATTTCTCATTTTCCATTATTTCTTAGTAATCGCATATGAGAACCGAGCAATAGCTCGGTTGGTAGAAATCTCCTGTCAAGGAGGCCACCCACCAGGGCTCAAACCAGGGTCCTAGTGAAATATAGGTACCTTCATGAAAAAAACTGGTTTCAGTCAGCTTCCAGCTAGAGTTTGGCAATTCCATGGCGTCAACTCTTGTAACACAAATCTGGATCCCTAAACTTGTTAAGCGTGTCACCCGAGGTCCAAATCACCATAATCATCACAAACTTAACCTATGAGGCATGCAAACATGACACCTGATTGCACTATACATGACAATAATAACTAACGACGGCCATTAACACATAGTAGAGCATGGAACATCTCAGGCTCCATGCAAGAGTGCCACATATGTTATTTCTTGCTGATTGAGGTTATGGGCCTAAATCTGTATTTTAAAAGCACATAGGACACCGCTAGACAAGTGTAAGGACCACCGGTGCACTTTTCTCTTCAAAATATTTTTCTAAGCAAAACATGTCCTTTTTTTTGCATAAGCAAAACATGTCCTTCTAATCCTAACCTTCTGTGACAAATGATGACAAATAAGTTGTATACACAGAAGAGTGGATTTTATCTAGAATAGTAGAAGTGTTTGTTTTTTTTTCTCGGCACAGGGAGAACTGCGCTTCATTATATTTAGAAGATAGTAGAAGTGTTTGTTTTCAATATATTGCTTCACTGCAGCTTCTAGAATAAAAGGAATGGAATGATTGGATGAACTCACATAGTAAAACTTTGCTTCTGGGTATCTGTTTGTATCGAGAGACTTGAGAATTCCAAACCAAATACGAAGTTCCCCTATTAACATTTCACCAAGAAAATAGGCATGTCAGAGTAGTCGACGGAATAAAAAGACAAAAAAAAAAAAGGATAACACTTAAGGTCAGAATGTTAGATGTAGAAAATAGATGTGAAGTGTACTAAAACTAAGTTGCTGACAGATGTTATTTGATTTTTTTTTTATTTCAAGCAACCCAATTACAATTTCAGAGATAGAGATAGAGATAGAGAGAGAGAGAGAGAGAGAGAGATTTTGGATTCACTAGATCTATGAAGACTTGAGAGGGGTGCATGAAAAAGAAAATCGAAGGGACCTCTAACGCTAAGGTAATACAAATTAAATTCCGCAGTCATTGTGACATCAATGAAAAATGAGCTTGGGTATTTTTTGACCACCTTCATGGTAATTTTTTTTTAGAAAAAAAGGTTGAGATATCATTTTGAGGAAATAATAAAACCAAACTTGGACGACAACTGAAATAAAACCATGCACAACACTGAATAACAAAACGAAATTATACAGACACTAAATAGCAGAAATTGGAAAAATAAAAAAGAGATATACTTGAACGTTGTGGGTATCCATGTACACAATATGAACATTTCGCATAGAAACTTGGATACTGTCCAGTATCTGCCATCATAAATCAAACAAAAGTGATAAAATAACCTATGTTTCAGCACAACCTTCAAAACTACTGATCTTTAAATGAAATAATGCAAGTTTGTTACCTTTGATGATATGTAGGACAAAAATGACTGTCCCGTTTGGTTATCTAGAAGTCAAAAGAATAGGGAACACCATGAATAGTGTAAACTGCATAACTCTTCTGAACACACATGAGATGAGACTTGCAGCAATTACGTTACATTATGATAAGTTTGAGTACAAGAAACATGTTAGCAAGTGATCACATAGAGTATATCATGGGAAATCTTCAAATCATTTTTCATGAAGGTTCTTTGATAAACACATCTTACACACATACTTAGTATATATAACATGAAAACTTGTGAGGCTTTGTCTAAGCTACAAGTTCAGTGACACTTTGTATTCAACAGAATATAAAAGGCACGTGGTAAAACAAAATAAGTCAAAATAAAAAATGGTGACAACACGAAACCTAAAGTCACCACTAGATGACACAACTGAAGTTGTTGAGCTAGCAGTGAAGTAAATTATAAAGATAAAGTGACCTTTGAGATTTATTAAACCAACAAAAGGGTACTTCGATTGAGGATAAAGAGATGGCTCAAGAGTTAGGATACGAAGGAAGGTTAATCCTAACCCTTCGTGTTTTTTCAGTTGATGGTTAGAACTACCCCACTGACATATCCCAGTCCTAGTCCCCTATCACTAATCAATAAATTCAAAAAGCCTGTAAGGAAAATGGGTGTGCAGGCTGACCTGTAACTCTTCTAGAAAATTTAGCAAGCTCAATGGCATTAAGTTTAGCCAACTTTCCAGCCAGTTCTCTCTTGTCCAGAGAATCTGAGCTCCACTGATAAAGAACCAAAGAATGTATTTGGTCAGAAGGGTGGAAACACATATATTTGATTTGACAAAGTAAATTGAGCACTGTAATATGAACAAATTCAATGACATGCCTCAGAATCCTCCCTTGGGCATGCGCAAACAAAGACATCTTCTATGACAATAATGATAGGGTCCCATCCAAGCTTCTTCCAAGGAATCCGGATGCTTAGCTTCCCAATTCGTCCTGTAAAGCAGTAGAACAGAACTAAAAGTTTACAACCATGCAATGGTTCACAGACAGGAAAATCAGTACAGTTGGATTAAAAAATCGATACCATTCTTCAGCGCGAATGGCAGCTGCAGGTAGTCAAAGGCTTCCAGAATCAGCTCTACATTTTCGAGCAGTATTTCTTCTGCAGATCAGTGGGTACCAGAAACATAATCACAATCAGATAGACAGTAGGTTCCGCATGAGTATTAACACTACGAGTAATTACTTAGCAATTCAATGCATAACATCCAGTAGTAACGGAAAGCCGAAATAACCGTGACACTTAACAATGCGCAAACTGACACATAAAACCCAAAAACTACACTGATCAGGCAAGAGCACTACACTGACGAAAGCCCAAAAGAGGCAACACCGCACGCAGCCACAGAATTCCAAAACTAATGCTGCGGTAACAGGACAGGCACGAATTACAGCGCGGCGGAGTTGAGACAGCCGCCAGTTCGCGCGCGGTTGGGCAAAAGCGGCGCTAGAGAGAGCGGAGGGGGAGGGAATCGAGGACTGACCCTTCCAGATGCCGATCTTAAGCTGCTCCTTCTGGATGCCCTTGACATAGCGGCGGAGGAGGCCGTCGAGCACCTGGCTCACCACCCCCTCGAACATGGCGCCGGCGGTCGAGACACCCTAGGGAGCCCGCGCCCCATGTAGCGGGAGGAGTAGGTTGGACACGGGGGAAGGATGGAGCGGAGCGTAGGGTGACGAGGAGACGGAGGAGGGGGCAAGGGAAGGAGGCGAGCGGTGGATGGAGAGGTCGGGTGGCGCCGCCGGGGCTGGGGCTTTTTCAGTTCCGTTTGCTTGGAGAAGGCGGCGGACGCCGGAGGCGACGGCGATTCGTGTCGCCCTGGCCTCTGCTGCTTGGCCTCCGTGGACGAGTCGTAATGCCACGTGTGTGAATACACCGACATGTACCGTATTTTCGTATCCGTGTATTTACAACATCTTTTGATAATTTGATTTAATTCATTTGTGATGACGTATTTCGATGTATATCTCTCTGTGGCTGCACATGTACTCGTATTCAGCCGTCAGCATGTATTCCCATCTAAAAAAGATGTACTCAGCCTGTGTCCGCAATTTTGTTTCAACACATGGGAAAAAAATCTCAACGTCATCTTTTGCGTATATCGAGAAAAAAAATCTCAACGTCATGGTGTACTTTACTTGAGAAAAAGTTGTGATCGAAAAAAGAAACACACATTGGAGCTAGAGCTACGTATTCTGGCAGGAAGCTTTCCATTTCTCTTCTTTTCCGTGAGAAAAACCTGAACCTCCACTCAGAATCACACAAATCTAGAGAACTCTGACAGACGAATTCTTCAGAGATCAACCAGTCCATCAATATCACGACAAGCATCCAGTGAGGTAACTTCAGTTATTAGACTCTCAATTGCAGGTTGTACTCCTCATTTTCTACCCAGTATCCGCACACAAACTGGCCAGGAAACGGTGGCATTGCTGCACATCTGAAAAAACTGAGCCATTGCATACAGGTTCATCTCCGCATATTACTTACAGTTACAGGGCCCTACAGGAAAAAAATGGTGCGACAATGATCCGCCAACTATTGGCTGTCAAAAGTCAAAACTGTGCGTGCCCTTCAGCTCCAAGGCCTTCCCAACATCGTCGATGCACCTCTGTCATCCTCTCCACCGGATTGCAGATGCCAGTGCAGTTCCAGTCGAAGGACGCCGCACATGGGTTCCCGGCCTGCGCTTTCCATTCGCAGTCTGCAAGATCATCAAAGATGGGACATGAAATGTGTGCAGATTATAGTGAGAAGTGAGAACAATTAGCTGAAGAGGTTAGCGGCATATTTATGAAAGGTAAATAGGTGTTAAACACTCATGTGTTCATAAGGTTCCCTTAAGGTGCATCTGGAAGCATGCATATAATGATCAGAGCTGGCAGTGATGATTGATCAGGTACAGAGAGTACATTCATAGACGAAGAATAGTACCAATTACAGCAACAGTGAAGTGAAAAGGACAGAAGCCAAAGGGCGCCTAGCTCAAACGGTTAGGTGACCCAGCGGCACTCCTCAGGTCCTGGGTTCGACTCCCCGTGGGAGCGGATTTCAGGCTGAGGTTAAAAAAAATCCCCTCGCCTGTCCCCATGTGCCAAAGCGCAGTGGAAGGCTCCGGCCCGGTTCTCACAGGGTTACGGCACCTCCTGCGTCAGGATGGGGGCGGGGGTTCGGAAGTTTTCTCGATCTGTGTGAGAATATCTTCTTCTTAACGGAAAACCCGGGGGCCGTCATAACCCCCCGCAGGTCGAGTTTTTTTGAAAAGGACAGAACCATGGCATCGAGGGACCAACAGACAAGAAGCTCATTGCTTTAGAAGGTCAACAAGGAGTACACTCACAATGGCAGGGAAATTTTTCCAAGCGGCATTAAAATTATCGTATCTCGAGTTTGTTCAAAAGTAATCATCTACTGCTCAGTGTCGGTAGCCTTCACATAAACGAAACATTCAATTTCAGGCTCCACTGTTGCCCAAGGTGGCCGCCTAGACCATAAGCGTCGCTTAGGTACTAGGCGGTAGGCGCCACTGTCCTGCCTAGCCTGTCCAATCCCCATTGGTGATAGATGCTGGTGTGCCTACCACCTGGAGATTAAGAGTGGCAGCAAATGATCAGGGGTCTTGGATTGTATTGGTGTGATTGTTGTTGAACACCAATTTGTCAACTATGAGCATGTCTGGTTAAAGTATGGGACCACTGCTGGTAAGCAGAGGACATTGCTGGTAAACAGAGGACACAAAGCTGGAGAAAGCAAGTTTTAATTAACAAAAAGTGCAGTTGTTACACATTTCATATCAATCTTTTCCTACTAAAAACTACAAAATTAGCACAACTAAATAGTACAGTAAAGCAACTAACTTCAAGTTTAAGCAAAATCATGCCACTATCCCAATGAGCATGGAGTAATTAACTAGATGGTACAGGAGTAAACACCAAAGAAGCATGGAAATTTGAGTGTAAATGGAGACGCCAACCTGGGGGAGTACCACAGCAAAGGCTTCTCTCATCAACATGCTCAACTTCCAACCCAATCAACCAAGCGCCAAATGATACATCTTCGTTTGAATACTTGTGTAGGATATGCCTGAAAGTGGTGTTCAGAAAATATGAAATAAACAGTTTGGTCAGTCTGGTCTATAGGATTCCCACCATCATTTAAACTCACCGGTTTGCTGATATGTAAGTTGCCAAATCCCTGGTTACAGCATACAGTTGCCGTGTTGCATGCCTAAAGTAGTTGTTACCCTCAGTCCCAAACTTCCAATGATCTGGCTCATAATACTTGGAGTCACTGTTAACATTAAACAGGAACTTTATTATGTCATTTCTGAAAACAAATGTTGGTAAGATGAAATTAGCTGTTTGGGATTTTCTAGCAAGAAATGTCCTTATAATTAGTAAATGTGGAAGTGCGATCTCAACTGCTATGGAATGGAGAAGAATCACTTTTGTAAATAAAATCCATAAAATATGGAAAAGAAAGTCTGCAAATATGGAGCATTACTTTTTAGCAATAACGGGTCCAGATTTCATGCAGCCAATGTACACCCGAGGTTTCGTCCTGTGTCGCGCCAAAATCGATCTGGTGATACCTGTATTGAAAGAGCCCCCCAATCACAGTGTGATGCATCGTCACTATACTTGATTGATCAAAGTTGAAAGGGTCCCGTCTTTGCATACCAATGTTGACATGAACATTATCATCAGCTTTTACATAGAAATCAGCGTCCCACATGGTAAGAGCAGTGGAAAGAAACATCTGAATCTTCATAGGGAGCCCTCCATAGCCTTCCATATGATTCTGTATAGGATGATTAATGTTGCAAACACATCAGTGCTGGCTGACTGGCAGTCACTGATCAAAGAAAAGGGGAAAAGTTGAAACTAATCAACTGAACTGAACATACAATTCTCAAGATATCATTGTAGTCTTTATCTTCTGCATCAATTGCACGGTCGACCTCATTGTCCGGGTTTGGATTTGCACTACAAGAAAGAATCCCCAGATTTCAGGAACATAGTACTAAAGAAGAACATTGTGTCACCGTTTGTTTTTATCTCCAACTCAAAAGAAGTCCATACCTGCGTCCAATAACAAAACGGATAACAACGCCCTTCTCTTCCAATCCTCGCAACTGATCACCTAAAAACGTTCAATATTTTTACATATGAAATAAAATGAAAAAAAGGCTCCACGGTACAAAATGGCAGGAAAAGGCATCTCTACCTTGCGGCATCCATGTCTGCCTTATTGAATCTCTCCGCTTCCGGTTCGCAAACGTGGTGAAAACGCCCATCACAAAAGACATCCTATGCCGCGCAGTTCCCTGGTCGCCCTCCGAGTCACCCGGTGACATGCCCTGGCTCATCGCCTGGGCGGCTCTAGCCGCAGCCAGGCGCATCTCGATGTCAGATATCGTCTTATCCAACGCCCTGCGATTGAAACACCAGGATGCTATAACAAACCTGTATTGAACCAAAGGTAGATTCAGGAACTGAAGAAGCTTGTGGTATTACATGATGACTTCGCGCGTCTGCGACACTTGGTTCAACGCGGCCCTCGAGTGGTCAAAGCCTGCCTGGAAAATTGGAGGCCAACAAATGTCTGAATGCGCTTCCATAGGAACACTCTCAGGGAATGCAAGGGAAAATTCGCATTACCTTGTCTGGGCAACCGGGATGCTCAGGAACAGCCCAGTACCTGCAATAAGCACACAAATGTAGACCAATTACCACCACTCCCCGAGACCTTGAAACCGACGAGCATTGCCTCAGGACTAGATTGCGGCAGGCAGGCAAAAGGAGCGGGGCGAGGGACCCGGAGGCGGGCGGATTTTGGGGGGGGGGCGCGGGGGGGAGAAGGCGTACGGACCTGTTGACGACGCAGACGCCGAGGAGGAAGCAGGCGGCGCAGAGCGCGGCCACACACCGCGTGGGCACGCGCGCCGGCGAAGCCTTGTGCGGCCTCAGCGCCGCCGCAGCCATCATCGTGGCTGGCCACCTCGTATGCCTTCTCGTTCGAAAGGGAGGAGGGGGAAAGCGCCCCAGGAGGCCAGGTCCGCGTGAGAGCTCTGCCTTCGACTGCTAGCTGCGACCGCTGCCAACACAGTGGCGCTCACAGTTGCTACTACGTGGACTCGGTCCACCTTATATCCCCCTGCTCCTCCGTGGTTTTAAAGAGATTGTATCACTTTTTGCATTTCTTTGATAAAAAAAAGGTTGTAGTACATGCTTTTTTGGGCTGGTGCCATTATGTTGTAATTTTAATGCTACCAGCTAACTTATGAGTGCTCAATAAGTAATATAAATATAGAATAAAATTTGGTACTCTTTCCATCCTAAATTAAACCCATTTTTAGAGTTGTCCTAAATCAAACTATTTTTAGTTATATATTACTAAATCTTTAGAAAATAGCAACAATTGTTATGACATCAATTAGTATCACTAAATACATCATGAAATATATTTTCATAATGTTTTGTTTGATATGTAAAGTTAGTTAAACTTAAGATATTTTGACTTACTATGATTCTAGATATTGATTTATTTTGGGATGGAAAAAGTACTTTATCAATAACTA